TGCCCGTCGCGCGCCCCGTGGCACGCGACGGTGCCCTTCTACTGCCCATCGTGCGCCCCGTGGCACACGATGGTGCCCTGCTCGTCGTGTGCCCCGAGGCACACGATCGGGCCCTTTTATTCTACCCGTCGTGCGCCCCGTGGCACTGGCCCGCGACGGGCCTTTCCGCCCCTGCACTCCCTGCTGCCGCCCCTGACCCATCTGCACCGACGCCTCTTCGCCGCTCTGCGGCTTTCTTCCTTCCCACCCCCCCCTTTCTCTTGTCTCCCTGCAGCCGTGGGGAGGAGGGTATGGGGGTGGAGGGTGTTGGAGCGTGGGGTCAACTCTCTCCCTTTCCCTCCTCCTTCTTTCAGTCCCACCGCTGCAGCTGCCGCTGGGGGGGGAGGGTGTGAGGATGTGGGTGAGGAGGGGGAGTGGTACCGGGGTGGCGGGTGTGAGGCAACAAGCAGCCGTCCCTCCACCTCTCCTCTCTTCCCCCCTCTCTGCTGCTTCTGCAGCAGTGTGGGGGAGGGGAAGGAGGAGGGTGAGGAGATGGAAGGGGTACCTGCTGTTGCTGTAACTACATACCTACCTACAAGCATTATGGGGGCGTGTCGAAATATTTTGTCATGATTTATAATTGCTTGTAGTTGTAGTTAGTGTAGTTATGTAAACTTTTGTTGGTGGTGCACCTTATTGTGTTTCTATGCTATATGTACCCCTGAACCTATAGTGAAACGCACCTTTTCACCAATTTCTCTCAACTCACTCGATACATCGCTCCTAGGGAAAATCCCGCTCGATACCTAAGTTCGGGCCTAGGCTACTAAGCCTAGGCCCCACCTCTTAACTTACCTATTACTCTCGACAGCGTTCGGTCCCGGCTTTTACGTAGTAGATTCCCTTGGCTGCTGCGAATTGCTGCGAGTTTCCTCCTGTGAAGAATGGGTCCGTTTGATATCCGTGGGTAAATAGTCCTGTTAGTAGCGGGCTGGTCTGGGCGAGTAGTATTGCATGGATCTGGGCAGTTGGGCGGGTCAGTGCGTCGGCGATGTTCGAGGCTCCCTTTTTATATGTGACTGTGTAGTGGAAGTTTGACTCGAGGAAATCGAGCCACCGAATCTGTCGTGGGTTGAGGTGGGGTTGTGCGCGGAGGTACTGTAGGGATCGGTGGTCTGTTAGTACTGTCACGTCTGCGCCGGTCAAGTAGTAGCGCCACACTTTGAACGCATGCAGGATCGCGAGCATTTTGCGGTCGTGTATCGGGTAATTTTGTTCGGGCGGATGCAGTTTTCGTGATTCGTATGCGATGGGCTGTATGCCGTTGCCGAAGTCCTGTAACAGTACGGCTCCAATGGCGATGTCGCTTGCGTCTGTAACAACTTCGAGGGGGTGATGTGGGTCAGCGATGCGCACGACGGGTGGTGAACAGAGAACATTTTTCAGGGCAGAGAAGGCAGCATGCCCTTTCTCCCCCCACGTAAAAGCGACCCCCTTGCGTAGTAAATCTGTCAGCGGGGCGGTTAATCGTGCCATGTCGGGGACGAACTGACGAACATGATTAATGAACCTAAAAAAACTCTGCAGTTCCGTGATGTTCGTCGGGGGACGCCACGCTTTGACCGTATCCAGCTTCTTGGGGTCGATTTCGAATCCAGCCTCCGAAATAACGTGCCCTAAAATTCTAGCCTGTCCCGAAAACACTCGCACTTAGAGCCCTTGGTGAGTAACCGATGTTTCTCTAAAACTTTAAACACTGCTTCGAGATCTGCTAAGTGCTGCTGCTTGTCGCAAGTGTAAACGAGGATGTCGTCGAGGTAAACTATCACGCATTTATCTAAGAGTGGCCTAGACGCCTCATTCATGGTCATCTTAAACGTTGCGGGCGCGTTGGTCAGCCCGAAAGGCATCACTGTGTACTCGAACGACCCGTACCTAGTCCTAAATGCTGTCTTGGCGCAGTCCGATGGTTCGATCCGAATCTGATGGTAACCCCCCCGTAAGTCTATTTTCGAAAACACCCGTGCTGTTTGCAGTTGGTCGATCAGCTCGTCGGCACGGGGAATGGGGTACCGTGATTTTACTGTTACCCTGTTATGCGCTCGGTAATCGATGCACATGCAAAACCCTCCGTCTTTTTTCGGTGTGAACAGTATCGGTGCGGCGAACGATGACGAGCTCGGTCGGATAAACTGCTTCTCTAACAAATAATCTAACTGCTTCCTTAGTTCGTCGAGCTCGGGCTGTGTTAGTCTGAACTGGCGCTGTACAGTTGGCTGTGCCCCCGGTTCTAACTCGATCCTATGGTCATGCGCCCGCTGAGGTGGCAGCCCTTGCGGTAAGTCGTCTGGAAAAATCCCCGGGTACCGTTTTAACAGTTCCTGAAGTTCGGGCGGTACTGCTGCCAACAGTTTCTGAAAATCGCTCGGCTACTCCTCTTCTCCCACTAGTGCTATATCCACTGCGTACACGTCAGCTCCAGCGGCGACAACCCGTTTCATCGTGATGGCGTTGATGTGGACCGTTGAAGACTCACGTGACTGCTAGCGAGGTAGTTCGACCCAGTTACCACTACTTCGCATGGTACAGCTACCCGTCGTCCAGTCAATTTGCGGGTTATACCGTCGCAGCCAATCACGTCCCAATAAAATGTCGTGCCCATCCAGTGTCGTTGCGAGCATTTCCTGTGTCAACCCGAAATTCCCTCCGCACCGGACTTTTACTCGCTCCACCTTTTCCCGTATGGCCAGTGGTGTGCCGTCGACTAAGCGTGCGTCTATCTCAGGTAAGCAATGGTTAAGTGTTAGCTGTAGTTTTCGTGCGGTTGCGGTATTAACTAAACTATGACTTGCTCCTCCGTCAATAATAATCTTCACTGCTGCTCCCTGTATTTTCCCGTGGATCAGTATTGGGCAATCCATCGCTGTACCCTCCTTATTCATCCGAGCCCGATCGATGGCATGAATCGGTACTATGACTCGGTGAGGGTCGGTGCGGTTGGGCAAGCAAGCAGTCTCGTCAGTAGTTGGCCCAGCTTCTACTGACTGCTGGCGTTTCCCTGCCTCTGAGACTCCCTCCCCTGCTCTGCTCCTCGGCGCCTCCGCTCCTCTGGGCATTCGCTCTTGCGATGGCCCGGCCTGCTGCAAGCAAAGCAGCGCCCCTTAAACGGTGCGGCAGCTGCATTCGTTGCAATGGCGTGTACAGTGGCGTGCTCGGTCGGTCCCCGAGGGCGATGTCCGTAGTAGGACCCCGGTCTCGGTCGGCGTAGAATGTCGATCTTCTCGGCGAGCGCGAGAATCTCGTTGAAATTAGAGAGTCCGCGCAGCATGATTTCGTGCAAGATATCCGGCTTCAGCCTTCCGACGTAACGGTCCACCCGCTCCACTTCGTCCATGTAGCCGACCTGCTCGCAAAGTGCGAGAAAACCGCTCGTGTAATGTTGAACCGACCCGAGCTGCCGCCAAGTGCGCAATCTCTGACGCGCCAAAATGGAAGCCACGATCGGCTCGAAGCGCGCCCGAAGCCGTGCGCACCACGCATCCCACGTGCTGTATTGGGCGGTCTCACAGAACGAACTCAAGGTGACAGATGGACCCGTGGGCCCTTCCTCGTGCGACGGTGGCTCGTAGGCGCATGGCGACGTCACAATGACTCGCCACCAGTCCATGGCGGGGCCCCTTAGCAGCGAAACTGCATACCGAATCTTCGCGGCGTCTGACTCGACGTAGTTCGCGTCGAAGAAGATGTTCATCGTGAAGACCCACGATTGAACCGTCGGACCTCCGCGTTGGCTTGGGTCGAAGCAGGGCGGGCGTTGCGGCTTGAGCGGCATTGGTGCAATAATGGCCTGTTCGCCACTTGTCGCCGTGAATTCCACGTGCCGACGGGCTTCACAGGGCTCCCGCGGGCTTGGTGCGACCCTGCTTCCTCCCATGCCAGGCATCAGCTGGGCGGCGCCATCACTGGCTGCGACTGAGCGTTGTCCCATGCTGTCGTGTTGCGTTGGTGTACCGGACGAAATGATGATTGGCTCGTCCGATTGTGCAGATGCATTTGTCGGTGCGTGTGATGTCGCTGGAATGTTCACCGTGGATTGTTGACCGGCGGAGTCACGTTCCGCCGTGAGCGTCGCAATTTCGAGCGCCGAATCTTCAAGTTGGCGCACGAGACGATCAAGCTGCTCCTACGTCAATGTGGCGAGCGTGAAATCGGCCATGGCGGGGGTGTCGGGCGAGCTCAGCGAGAGCCTCGGTCGTGGCCGTGCGTGCTTACGAGAGAGCACTACGAGCGGCGGTGCTGTATCGCTGAGAGACGTCTACCCCCCCCAAAAATTGAGATAGTGGGGAAGCGAAAGTGTGGGTGCGGTCCGAAAGGAGATCGTAGGCTCTGAATACCAAGTGTTACGAGTGCAATTGAGTGAACGAACGAGAATTGCACTATCGAAGCAAGAATACAATGAGCGAAGGCATGAGCGAAGAATATATAGCGAAACTACAGTGGTAACGGTAATGGACTGTGGTTGTCGCGCGACGGGCCTGGGACTGAGGTTGGGAAAGTGTCGAAGCGGAGGCCCGGAGCGCGGGTTACCAGCCGAGCCGTGAGGTCGGGGTGCGATGTGCGAAAGTGGCGGGCTGATTGTCGATGCGAGGATCGCGAGTGGTAACGGTGCTGACTGTGGTGCTACAGTGATGTACGCGTTGAGCAGGGATGCGAAGTACGGAAAATGGATTTTCGTTACACACATCCATATATTGAGGAAATTGACCAAAGAATTTCGTTGGTTGCAGATCAATACTGAGTGTAGCAGTGAAGCTCGCTCAGTGTCGCAGCTGCGATATTGACTCGCTTTGCAGATAGTGGGGCTTGACAGTCAGAACACACAATCCATCCAGACGTGAACTGCACGTCAACCTCCCATTCTCGAATCTGGACTCTGCTCTCTTCGTTATCAGTCTCGGTTCGATATAATCCACACGCGCAACCCATGCTTCTCGTCCTTCGCAGTTCCCCGTCCCGCATTCATGGCGACAACCACGCACGCCCCCTCCCTCCGCGTTTCCCGCTTTAGCGCCACTCTCCACCACAGCACGGCTGCCTCTTCCCGCCTCTCGAGCCGCCTCCGCCGCTGTCCGGTCTCTCCTCTTTCGCGTGCCCCCCTCTCCGCGACTGTTCCGCGCGCCTCCCAACTCCGCGCCCGGCTTCTCCGCGGGCCTGTCCGCGCAAGCGGGGGGAGCAGCGGGAGAACCGCAAAAGACCCATCAGACGATGATGACGTGGCTGCAGCGTTTTCGTCGAGGACAAACGCATCCAGTTTAGGGCCGAGCGGGGAGGAGCAAGGGGTGGGAAGCGGAGAGATAGATTCGCGGGGAGAGAGAGACCCGTGGGGACGGGGAGAACCTTTGGGAGAGAGAGAACCTTTGGGAGAGACATACCGGCGGGGGGGTAGAGAGCAACAGCGTGGAAATGCGGGGGAATGGGTTTCGTCATCGGGGGAATGGCGGTTGTCGACTGGCGGTACTAGCAGCAGTCAAGGACTAGATTATGATATCGACCCGCTAAGTAGCAAATCCGGTTTCCGTTATAATTACCACACAGGCGACGAAGACCCAGAAGGTAGTATCGACGCCGCAAAATCTTACCCACCGTCGCCCCGTTCCGCCATTCCCCCGCTCCCTTTACCCCGCATTCCGCCCACTACCCGGTCGCCTCCCCCCCAACCCCACCAATCCTCCCCACCTCTCCCGCGCTCCCCGCCTCCTCCCCCTCCTCCTCCGCCACAAATCCCTCTTCCTCCCCCGCGGTCGTCGAATCCGTTCGCGGCGGTGAGCAAGTTCGCGTTAGCGGGGGTGTTCTTACTGGGGATAGGCGCGGGCGTGTCGGTGGACACGGTGCTGAACGTGGAGCCCAGCAACGTGGCGTCGCGGGAGGTCATCGACCGCCAGACGCCCAACCCGGACATCTGCCTCGCCAACGGCATGAGCGCCATGGTGCTCGACCAGCGCCTCTTCATCTCCTTCAATCCGTGAGTCGGTTTTCTCCTTGCCCTGACCAGGTGGTGACCAGGTAACCGGCCCGCCCATCTGCCTCGCCAACGGCATGAGCGCCATGGTGCTCGACCAGCGCCTCTTCATCTCCTTCAATCCGTGAGTCGGTTTTCTCCTTGCCCTGACCAGGTGGTAACCAGGTAACCGGCCCGCCCATCTGCCTCGCCAACGGCATGAGCACCAACGGCTCGACCAACGGTTGTTCATTTCTTTCAATCCGTGAGTGTCTTGCCTTTTTTTCTCCCTCTCGTTTCTCTCTTTTTTTTTGTGTGTCATCTCTTACCCTGCCCGCTTCTCTCCCACCCTGCCTGTCAATCTCCCCCCCCCCCCCGCCCCCCTCCCGCCCCCCTCCCGCCCCCCTCACCCATTCTCCTGCAGCTTCAACGTGTATGTGTCGCAAGCACAGGTGAAGCTGGGGTGTGTGTTGCGTGTGCCTCTTCATGAACCCCCTTTCTTCCGCTGTCCCCTGCTCTTACCCCCTCCCCCTTCCCCCTGCAGCTTCAACTTGCATGTGTCGCAAGCTCAGGTGAAGCCAGGATGTGTGCTGCGTGTGCCCCTTCATGAACCCCCTTTCTTCCCCTGTCCCCTGCTCTTACCCCCTCCCCCTTCCCCCTGCAGCTTCAACGTGCATGTGTCGCAAGCACAGGTGAAGCCAGGATTTGTGCTCAGTGTGCCCCTTCTTACCCATCTTTGTTCCCCTGTTCCCTGCTCTTACTCCCGCCCCCCTTCTCCCCTGCAGCTTCAACGTTCATGTGTTGCAAGCAGAGGTAAAGCCGGGGTGTGTGCTGCGGCAGAGCAACTGGCACGTGCTCGAGCCCAACGGCCTCGGGTCATCAGGCCATGCAAGTGCACGATCAACACCTTCCCCCTCACTCCCTCCCCCATTCTCCTCCCGCTCCTCTCGCCCTCCTGCCCCTTCTTTCCCTGCCCACTTCCCTCCCACCCCGCCTGAATATCTGTTTCCCTCCCGTACCCCACCCCTGCAGCTTCAACGTGTATGTGTCCCAGGCAGAGGTGAAACCAGGATGTGTGCTGTGTGTGCCCCTTCGTTACCTACCTTTCTTTTCCTGTCCCCTGCTCTTAACCCCCTCTCCCACCCCTCCCCTTTGCAGATTCAACGTGTATGTGTCCCAGGCAGAGGTGAAACCAGGGTGTGTGCTGCGGCAGAGCAACTGGCACGTGCTGGAGTCCAAGGGCCTCGTGTCGTCGGATGAAGTGCGCGACTGCAAGCGCAACATGAACACGTTCGGCTTCGTGGGCGACCTGAGGGAGTCACCTGAGGTGTCGTGTGTGTACCACAGTGAGACGGCGGAGAATCTGTTTCTGGAAGACGCGAGCAAGTCTAAGATCCGGATTGGGGGGAGTCAGTAGGAAAAACGGGAGACGGGAAGAGGAGAGGATGCAATGGCAATATGAGTTTTCCGCCATGGATATTATGTGCATTTTTGGGTTTGTTGTGTCAGCATTTGTCAGAAAACTTGTTCTGGAGGATGCTATCAGAATTGGGGGAAGGGAGACAGCTATTCTTTTTAGCTACTAGTCTGAGGTGGATGTGGGAAATTGAGAACGCAAGGTACGGTGTACATGCTAGTAGTATAGTGCAATTGGTCCTTGCGTTCAGCTGGTACCGGTAAATGAGATTTGGTCGGAAAGCTAAGGCACGTTCCGTCAACAGGCCGTTTTATCACCTGGTATGGAGGCCACGGGGGCTAGGGCAACAGGAGAATTTAGGTAGGAAATGCACGGATGCATTCCCAGCCCAAGACCGGAAAGTCATGAAAGTGCAATTTACATTCATGGACATTACAACCCAGAGATCGTCTACCCGTTTAGGAGCGCCCATGTATATGCTAAGCTAGCTAACCGAAGCAAACATTTACATAGAGGCACCACAGGAATATCATTCTCTTCGAGTAATCTAAGCCCTAGGCTGCTGTATGACCCAGGCCCGCTGCTGCTTAGGCTTGGCGATAGTTCTAGAAACGGTTCTCTCCTTGACGCGGTCGTGCTTCCACGACTTATTAACCTTGTTAGTAACCTCTTGTGTCAAGCCACATGGCTCGCCCGACCGCTCCGGAAGCTCCTTACGACTGCTTGACATCTCCAGGAACGGAAATAACAAGTGTGAGAAATAAGAAAACACGAAGTATAATAATCGAGGAAAGTAGGAAGAAACGGGCCCATTGTGTATACATGACGCTTACCTAACTACTCTTGAAACTGCTCGGCAGAAGAATCTTGCAGAATCTCGTCGAAATCCTCGTCTACGTCCAGTACGTAGAGCTCTTCTTGCAACTCTTCGTCGACCATGTCTTCCAATAATTGCTCGTCTACCAACTCCTCCTCCTCGTTGCGGTTGCCTGACTCCGTTACTTCAGCTTCCAAAGTAGCGAAGCGTTCGCGAAGCCAGTAGTCTCTAAACGCGGGGGAGTTTTGCACCTTATCCCACCATTCTTGACTGAAATCCTCGGTGTTTCTAAACGCAGCTGGGACGAAATTAGGAGCATCGGGATTCAGCAAGGACGGCATGGACGTGGGAGAACTTACTGCCATGGTGCTGAACGCGTGTGACTGAGATGTCAAATAAAAGTGACTGGCGCGAATGCGATGAGACAGCTCTACCAGGCTAGTAATACCAGGAACGAAAGAAATGAATTTGCGTGAGGCAAACAATAATAATCTGTTGCAATGCAGGATATGCGCTGAATTCTAGGACAAGCCCCTTTTATCAGTTAATGCCGCGGGAGGAGTTTGAGAGGTGCATGCTTTCCTGCTCTCCGACACGCTTGCTGTGGTCTGCGTTACACCAGCAGGACGCCAAACCACACCAGCCAGGCCTGATACTCTACTCTCGAAAACAACGGTGCTGGGTTCCATACGTACCGCTGCCTCGGTCTGGGCTGGGCTCAGTTATTGGGAGGAGTCTGGATGAAACTTGTCAGAAGGTTACGTTAGCAGGCTCGGTACAGGCGAACCTCAGGCTGGCAAGTTCAAGGTTTGCGTGTACCTCAGACATGCAGGGACCGCGAATTGCGAGAGCGTCAGGCAAGGACCATGTCTGTCTAGGTTCGAGGTCCAGCCATGCAGGTTAGGTGGTGGTCGTCAGTATGCGGTTAGGGTGAAACGAAAAATGCAGAGGTGGCGTCATGAATCGCAAATCACGGAACGAAGCAACCAATCACTGATCTTAAGAATGGAGATCCAGCAGGGATTCGACGTGTTTTCCATGTGACACACCGCGTCAATGCTAGTCCACACGCGGATAGGGACTACAAAACCCCACCAACCAACCACACTCGAGCACAGCCAAACCAGCGTGACAGCTCCAAAGCATGGCAATTATTTGAGGGCCTGTTCACGACACTTCAGTGGCAGGCCCGATAGGGTGGTAGTACATGAACCAGCTGAAACTGTATTTTAGCCAAAATACATGGTGTATAAAAACACCATCCACTTCACCACTTGGTTGGTTGTGGAACTATACATGGTTTCATCTAGGCTCCAGATTGGTTCTTAGGCCACCCTGAATAATCTTGGGAGCAAATTCAAGTTGAAAGACACACTGTCATCTGTTTGTACGAGTATGCGTAAGCGAATGCATGGCATGCATTGTGTGTTCGTGTGTTTATTTTATTTCGTCATTTCCGCATTTGCAAGTACTCGCCCAATGTGCACTTCGGCGTAACATTGTACGCGCCAGTGCACGCATAAAATAAAAGTTCGCAAAAGAGCTCGATACAGTTTGTCGTTTTAGAAGGAGCTTAGTCATTTGGTATACGTATTTTCAAATATGCATATTCAATCATATTCAGCTCGAAATTTTGACTCTTTTGTCAATTTATTTATGATATACCAGACCAAGCACCATATGACTGCAATAAAAAATGACAAATATCCGTCGTGGCAGCCGACATTAACGCATCTGTCTGCGCCTTGCCTTCTTGGACTTTCTTACTCATCGACTAACTGATCGTATGCATCCCTTCACGGTCTTTCCTAGTCTTCAGTCCTATGTTTCCTCCCCCGGTCTTGTCATTGGCTCCTCTTCCACCTGGTTTGTTGCTGTCTCCTCCTCTGTCTCCTGACCCTTCCCATGACTCTCACATCTGGGTGCGTTGTGTTAAGGTGAGGCCCTGCACACGCCTGGTTTTGCGTGTAGCAGCCCTATGCGATGTAGGGAGGTTTCGCATACCGCATACCGGAGCTTCGGTATTCACCGAGTACGCTCCAATAGTGCACTTCGGTATGCACTGTTCAACACTGAACCGAAATGGAGGGAAGTGACGACATTGCACAAACGGGTATGTGCAGCTGTCTGTTGCGAGCACATGCGCAACTACTCCTAGGCAAGTAGAAATTGCACCTCACGGTTGTTGGGCTGAAAAAAGCCCTAGGATCTTTGTAGAGTTAAAGTCTGAGTAGGATTGTAATAGCGGAAACGTTTGAGTAAAGGTCTTGAACCACCTTGCGCTAGTATGTGAGGGCAAAGTAAGTTGATTAAAACAGGCAGATACAAGGCTTTATTGTCAGAGGTCCACTGGTGATCCCCGATCGATCCTAGGGAAGGGTTACAGGCACGTTTGCCTGGGGGGTTATGGGCGCACTGACCCGCTACTGAAACAAGCCCTTTTATCCCAATGGTCTAGTGGTTGGGATTCTGAGATGGTATCAGAGCGAAGGTCTCGGGTTCGAATCCCGGTGTATGCACTTCGGGCATCCCAGTGCGGGGGGGTGTCAGAGGTCCACTGGTGATCCCCGATCGATCCTAGGGAAGGGTTACAGGCACGTTTGCCTGGGGGGTTATGGGCGCACTGACCCGCTACTGAAACAAGCCCTTTTATCCCAATGGTCTAGTGGTTGGGATTCTGAGATTTATATAAGAGTACAAGGAATACGAATAGATATAATTAACTACCTTGCTGTTGCGATTCGATACAGTGCGACTCGGGCAACTGCTCAATGTCGAGTCAGTTGTGTGTCCTTGCTGTCGCGCTGTATTGGTCAAGTCAAAGGTCGCTGACCTTTGACCTTCGCGTAACCTCCAGGCGGTTACCCTAACCTCCGAGGGTTGACTCGCGATGCTTCGATTTGGACTGCTTTGCTTTTGTGTCCTTGGTTTCGACACGACAGAGGCGCTTAAGACTTATTGTTCCCAACACTCCCCTTCGCTTCTGGAGTGTCGCTGATGGTGACGTGGCCTTGTCCAGTCAGCAGCATGCAGTATTCGAACTTCTGTTTTCCGAGCTTCTTGGTCAAATAGTTGGCTGCCATCTCGGACGTGGGACAGTAGGATAACTCGAGTTTTCCTTTCTCGATCTCGTCTTTCATGAAGAATTATCGCAGAGCGATATGCTTCGTTCTGTTCGCGAATCCGCTTTTGTTGGCGATGCGAATTGCAGATTGGTTGTCGCAGAACAGGGTGAAGTTGGGTAACTCAGCTAACTTTGCTTCTTCCAGCAGTTCGCGAAGGTAGAGTCCTTCCTTGGTGGCTGAGCAGAGGGCGATATATTCTGCTTCAGCTGAAGAGAGAGCGATTAGTTCCTGCTTACTCGACTGCCAGGAGATAGGTCCGATAGGCTCAAGACGATAGACGTAGCCAGTGCGAGAGCGCTTGTTATCTGGATCGCCGACGTGATCGGCGTCGACGTAGCCGATTAGTTTCGTCGGCGTAGTTACGTCTTTGTGGTACGTTAGGCCGATCGTTGCTGTGCTCACGAAATAGTGAAGAGCACGGTCAGGTTCTGCTAGGTGATCTGCTTCAGGCCTCTTGAGGTAGGTAGCGAGTTGGCTAGCGGAGTAGGATAGGTCTGGGCGACAGGTGACGGCTGCGAAGAGCAGACAGCCCAGTTTTCACTGGTAGTCGCGTATTCCGGCGGTCTCAAGTAGGACGGAGTTTCCTTGGCCGTTTCCTGCCTTGTAGCGGTATGGCGTGGCGATAGCGGTAGGTGTGAGCGAAAAACGTTTGGCGATCGTGTCGGCGTATTTCTCGGCGCTTAGATAGATTGCGTTTTCTTCTTCGCGGATGTTGAGCCCGAGGTACTGCGTGACGGTAGAAGAAACCGTGAGCGTGAGATCTTTCTGCAGCTCCCCTTCGAACCAGGTGGTGACGTCGTCGGTGGAGCCGATGTAGAGGAGATCGTCGACGTAGACGATGAGTAGGATGTAGTTGGCGCCTTTAGTGAGTCGGTACATGCCTTGGTCATGAGGCAGTTGGCGGAATCCGATGCGGATGAGGCGGGTGTGCAGGTGCTGTTGCCACAGCCGTGGGGCCTGTTTGATTCCGTAGAGAGACTTTAGCAGCTGGCAGACCTGATTGGGTTCCCCGTGGGTACCGTGAGGGAGCTCGACGAAGATGTCGGCGTCGACAGGTA